TCTATTCCTCTTGAGCTGCGGTGCCTTGCCAGTTAACCTTATCGGGTGTGGCAGGCTCGACGAGGTCGCCGCCAGGGAGATTTATCTCCTTTGCTTTATTTGGTAGCACGCTACCACTGAAAAAAGGGCTCCCGCTGGTCCCCGTACAAAGACCAGGTGAAAAGATGTGGACGCGACACTCCCAAGGGCCGGGCGTGTCGACATCATCGTGATCCCGCTGACGGGTATCGATACCGACAACAAACTGCCGCCAGGCGAACATCTGCTACCTAGGGGAGATTATATTGCCACAGGATGCCACGGAGCTTAAAGCATTGCACTATGGGCTTGAAGGGCTCTAGAGTTTGTTAGTTTCTTTTCCTAGCTTACGGGGGGATCAGGGTAGTATATTTCGATGAAGCTAGAATAGCACGCCTCATGCCTACACCAAGGCGCCAGTTAGGCGATACAAGAATCAATCATCAATCAATAAATAATGCAGTTTAGCTAGTTATTGTAACTAGTTATGTACATACTCTCGTTATGTTAATTCGGTCGCAATGAGTTCTTTGTGCGCGCCTACGAGCAGTTCTAGTCTTTTGCAAACTCCGGCCTTGGTCCATGTGCAGGTCCCGTTCATCTTTGACCGAATTTACGAACGGGCGACAAAGGCCCGCGCCGCATTGGCATCCAAAAACAGACGGGCGACAAATGCCCGCGCCGCATTGGCATCCAAATTGTGAACAACCACTAACTAAACATCACATCCACAATCTACGCTTTTTATGCCCTGCACAGGAGAAATTCATAGCTAGTGCGGCTCACGGGAGTATTCCTTTCAAGTCATACATTCTGATTGGAAATGGCGTACAATGCATGTCCCCCGTCTACCTCCCCCTCCTCCAAACGCAGTCTGAATGGAACCACCCACCAGTTAAGATCACGGCTCTCATTTTGGTGGGTAGTACTGACTTGCCGACCACCATAGCCTGCGTCTCTTGCAGCCATCCTCTCTTGAAGCTTTCGTCGTCGACTTGCGTTTCAAGCCGGGCTTTCGATCTTCACACTCAACACTTAGAGGAGCATTGCCAATGTGGCGTGGTTTTCGATGCCATCTTCTGTGATCCGGCAGGCCAAAAGGTGCATCAAGCCCTTGCTTTTCAACCAGCGTGCAGAGTCGATATGGGCTACCGCTCAACGGGTAGTTTCTGCCGTCTGGCCATCTGAGCGATGCAGACAATTTCTGCCCCTCTGTTTGGAACTCTACCGGCATGAAAAAATTCCCCGTTTCGTCCCAAAAAGCGGGGGACAGAAAGTTACCCGCCATGACCTTGTCGTTCACAACAAACCTCGCGTTCCATGCCATTAGCTTCTCAATAAGTAAGGACAGGGTGGGATCGCCGCTCTTGCGTAGACATAAAATACGACTGGGTCCTTTGAATGTGGCACCATCCTGCACTGGCACGTCCTCAAGCTCGAAGTAGAACATGGATGCGATGATACGATCCGCCATGCTCTCTATGTCTGTCGACAACGAAGCATCATTGTGTACTCTCTGTTTGAGCTTTGGAATAGCCTTCACATCGTCAAGCCTAGCCTCCATCTGTACTCTCTGTTTGAGCTCTGGAATAGCCTCCACATCGTCAAGCCTAGCCTCCATGCCCTCCAAAGAGGTATCCAGTCGAATGCACCTGTCCCGCAGCTCGGAAGTGTTATCTATGGATGTTGTGTATCTTCCCCAGTATGACAATTCCCGCAGCTCGGAAGTGTTATCCATGGATGCTGTGTATCTTCCCCAGTATGACAACCCACTGAGTAGCCACTCGTACGCGGACATAACCCTGTTTAACGCGCTCGTCTTGTATGCTTCAACTACCGCAGCTATTACGCCACCACTGCTTCCATGGCGGGGGCGCACATCGTTTGACTTTGACCCTGAGCCAATATTCAGCAGAAATTGATAAGTGCCATTTTTAGAGTACAGCCGGTAGTATTGGGAAAGGAGTAGAGTGATTGGATTGTTCTCAATCATGCCCGCATCTTGCAGCCAACCAATGCCCAGTATAAACTTGGGCGGAAAAAATCTAGCACATAATTAGTAAAGCTGCGCTGGCCTGTTAACTAGTTAGTGGGCTACTACGTACGTCGGGGCTGCCGTGCAGCTTCGGGCACTACTCATGGCTATTAACACTCGTCGCAGTGGGTGGATCTGTGCGCATGACTTACACGTCTGATACCGCAATATGGTTACCATTTCCATACAGCTCATAGCCTGAGCCTTGAACCGCTCGGTGACCGCTGGCGGTCAATTGCCCTCCCGGCATATTTGTGCACGGGCCTCGTTCTTTTACGTCGTCCCCAACTCCGTTGTAGTTGGTGAATACAAAGATGGACGGCTCAGGACTTCTTGCGACGGGAAGCAGAATGCGGGCGCCAATAGAAGACGCGTACGAAGGATCTAACATCCTCCGTCTATCGCCGTAGGTCTGTTCAATGGCCGTTTCCAGTGATTGTGCAGAATACAGTGATCTGTTCCACAGTGCCAAAACTGTCGACAGAACAGGTATGTGCTGCAGCGGGCCTTTGCGAAATATCACGTTTGCCATCTCCTCATACTTCCCAGTACACACCGACGGATGCCACCCCTGAAGGTATAACGCGATAAGATTCAGACCACCTGCTCCACGTTAGTCTCATGTCCCTTCCCTGCCCTCGTAAGGGAGCTTCCTCTGCTACATACCAGCACTAACGCCTGCGGCTAGTTGAAAGTGTTCTTGTATTCGGATAGGCAAACCAATGCGTTCTTCTAAAAGGCGAAGTATTTCCGTTTGTACAATTCCACGAACCCCTCCGCCGTCGAGGCAGAGCAGCCCGACGCCCGTTGTAGGGGGCCGGTCCAAAACTACGAGATTACACGCGTTGTCGCATAGAAAGCAGCTACGCACAATGAAGCGATCGGGGTTCTGGCGGCACTGGTTGCCGAAGTCCTTGACGCAGCTGACACACAGCGTGTGGCTGCATGGAAGCTGATATTCCGGCCGTCTCCTTAGACAAACAAAGCATGTGTCAGTACTGCCCTCTACCCTCGACCAGTTTTTTCTATGACGTTTCATGCTGTCTTGGAGTATATCGGTGATCTCGCCTCCAGCACGCCGAAACTTCGTGTGTAGGAGGTTCATATGGTGTAAGATAAGATCGGGGCTGGGGAATTTAATGTTCTCAGAGAGCTGCCGACATGCGCCCCGGTATAAGACGGTGAAGACATCGTGTATATTGAATTCTAGTGAATGAAGTATCAATAGTTAGCCTGTGAGTTGAGTTGCGGCAAGTCCTGAAATTGACATGCAAGACAGGCACGGCTGACGAACCATGCATCCCTGGGGTCAAATGATCGAGCAGAAAACTAGCAGCAATTGATTCCGCCGCGAACGACTGGTCGTAGCTTTCCGACAGTGTCTCTACATAGTTGTTCAGATGCTTAATCAGATCTGGAGCGACAGGGTGGAGCGCTCGAGAGGCCTCAACATAACGGAAGGGACGTTTTGCGGAAGCAGTGCTGAACGATTCTTCGAATAACCCCATCATATGACGGCCAGAGAAGAGCATGTTGTGATTGATCTTCCAGCGACGAGTGCGAACGGCTGTTTGTCCCAGCCTTTCGCGGATAGGCCCGAATCCATCGGTTGACCATGTGGACTGCTCTATTCTCACAACGCATATTTTGCCTGTTGGAAGCCTCTTCGCCAACTGCCTCTGGACCGTTACGGGCTGCAGAGGGTAAAATTCAGACAATAAAACTACGATGCCGGGCAATGGGGTCCCTGTGCCAGCTTCCCTCCAGGCGAGCATCCATTGAGTTATTTGCGCTTCAATGACACGCATGTCTGACTGGTTCATGCACATGAAGTAGAGAACATCTGCAAAGGGAAGGAGTATCCTGGGCAAGACGCTTAGTGATTCCGCTCTCGGGAAGACTTTTTCCTGTATGACAGATGCACTGAGAGTTCCTCGGGTAGACGCACAACGGGGTGGGGAGTGTGAAAGTAAGGATTTTGTGTTGGCGATCAGCAGTGGGTGTCGCCCTTTGGCAGTGTCAGGGTCGAGACGCAAATGAACTCCAGACTCTTCGTCCTCTGGAAAATACTTCCACTCCGGGGATTCAAAAAACAAAGCCAGACTAGGTGTCTGGCTGTAGGGATCCCGAAGAGAGCGTATCAAGGTGCGTAGCCGGTAGGTTTGCCGCACGATGCAAGAAGCTTCCTGATTGAAGATGTCTAACCACAGTGTGTCTTCCCACTGCATGCCCCAGCAGTAGAACACTGATCCCGCCGTAATATAGCTATGATGGGCATGATGGAAAAATCCATTATAAGAATTTTGCCCTTGATTTAGGACATGTGCTTCATCTTGTTACGCAACCCATGGGAAATTGGCCGTTTCTTAACAAGCAAGAACCCCTTTTAACCACACTGAAGACCTGGATATGGATGTGTGTTTAAAATAATGCACTGTGTACGCCACTAACAGGATGCCCTAGGAATAATGCACTGTGCACGCCACTAACAGGATGCCCTAGGTTCTAGGATAGGCGAGAAACAAGAATAACTTGTCCAAGATCTATAAAACTCCCATGGTCGCGGGCATTCGAGGAACAATACGTAGTTATGGTAAGTACGATTATGAACGGGGATATTTTATTGGCTATTGTCATGATCGCTGGACAACTTCTGCTGTACGCATTGCTTCATCTATGGCAGCGACATTCACATTCCCACCACCAGCCCGGCCTAGTTACTAAGTCTCCAATAAAGCAATGGCCGCCGGGAAAGAAAAGACGGCACAACCGAGGCCAGATATCGGGACTGCGTCGATCAGCTCGAATTCGAGAGGCCTTGCAACGCAGAGAATAAGAAGAGGGGCCATCGTTTTTTGTTTCACCAACAACATACTAATGACCTACACGGGTGAGAGGGGAAGCACAACCACAGCTTTGTCGTTTGCATCAAGCAGCCCCACGAATTGCTGCTGCCCCTAAATCCACAGTTGTTCCGAGACGTTCAGCGCCTTCCCATCGCGCATCGAGGAGCAGAGATTGCAAGCCATTCGATAAATAGAGATCAATCAGATCCTCGATAAATGCCTCCATAGTCTTTTCACAAATCTTAGTGCCATTTCCTGCCCTGCGATATGCCGCAAAGATTATGCCCCGGTTCACGTCTCGGTTGTGTTGATCAGGATTGAAAGATGGACGACTTCCATGACAGGGCCGAGCTGAACTCCTGTAGTATGTGCAAATCTGGCCGTTCGCCAACTCGCCCGGACCGGCGTTGTCCGGATATTCGCCATGCCCATTTTGCAGAATATCCACATGAAAAGGGAGCTGTAATGGTGAAGACATATTATGGAGGCCATACGCCGCCAGGAACTGCCACCTGAAGCGTACGTTCGGCGAGGTAGCATCATGGCGGGTTTGAAACTTGGATAGCGGAAGAACGTGTCCAGCATCTTCACAAATATGAATTGCATATGCCAAATCTAGTCCGTGGCGTTGAGAGAAGTCCATGATTTTCCATGCAGCGACTACAGAGTGCCAGGTCCGATTGTGCGGCAACAAAGCAAGTGGTGGTCGTGGAAGGGGTTCTCCCGTTGGTGTTGACGGTCTTGGCTGGAATTCCACGGATCCCTCCTTGGTAACACGCGATCTCGGCGTGTTTTCCTTGCTGGCGATTTTTGTAGAAATTTCGTCAAAGTCGACTAGCGTTGCGCTATCTCTCCTTGGAGTAGACGGGGGACTGGAGTCGAGAGATACAGTTTCAACTTCTCTCTCAGGCACTGGTAATGGGGCTATCGACACACCGCAGTCATTCAGAAACCCGGTGTTCAGATGCTTGGCCGCCGCCGTACCTTCGTTTCGAGCCGCCATTTTACCCCTGGTGGGAGCCATATAAGATGGGGGAGGATACCTAGCTTCCGACGGTGAGGGCATCACCGTGGTGACAGGCGAAACACGCTGTCGACCAAACCACTTCATCACGGCCATTTGCCAGATTTTCTGTGACGTGGTGGGTGCAAACTAGCATGGATTGAATCAAAAGACGGGCAATTTGCTTTGCCTACAAATTGCATGAATAATTGCAAGTAGTTAAATAAGTATGTAAATATGACTAACTAACTAGCCAAGTATGAATACAAAGCCAGTTCTATCCTTCGTCGTGAGTGAGCAAGACTGTGCAAGCTTGCATTGCCACACTAGACATCGAGATGACGTAAAATTTAATCGCTCATCTCGTGCGCGGGTATTTACAACAAAACGAAGCCGAAACAAACACTACGGCTAAACGTCCGACGGCGCTATACCGTGATGTTACTTATTTACGGTGGTCACATCTCACGCTATAACCATCTCGGACGAGGCGCACGGAGAAATTCAGGCCCCAGAAAAGCCCACTCAGTTCCAACAAAGGGTATGGTGGCTACCGTTAAGTTGTAACTTGTCAATATGTGAAGGGCACACTGTGGTTGAGTCACTAGTTCAATCACCGTCTCTTGCCGACGCCCTCGAACCATCGCTCTTAACACAGCCTCAACCTCGGCATCAGATGGGCTGTTTGGCAAACATGAGCATAGACGAGGGTTTGGATATGTAGTCATGGATATGAGTGGATTTTATTGAATGGCTATGGCTTGTGAGACGGCCTGTACATGAGCATATATCATACCACCCAAGACTAACTATGATTAGGGCTGTGTCTTCTTGCCGCTGGGTAAGCGTAGGTAGAAGCTTCCCGCCCCCTTATATCACTGTCAGATATGATCATAAATAACTAACCAAATGCATAAAGACACAATATTTTTGTGCAAGTAGCGCGGTGGTCATTCTGAGAATGACCTATATCATTTGTCCCATTTCAAGGACCCCGTTCGGTCCACTTACGCTGTACTGAATCTTGCTTGTCCACGACAGCATACTTACCAGAGCGAGCGTAGCAAAACCATGTTTCGCCAGTCAGCATACAATATATGTATTTACATATATACCAAGTTACGTAACCCCTGGAGTTGATGTCGCAGACTTGGTAGCAAGGGCTCATGAGGTAAATGAAGCGCATGGACCACTGTTTCAAAGTCTCGTACGGATATGACACATGGCCATACCCAGGTCATTCTGTTCACAAGAGACTCGTAGGCATCATGTTTCTCAATAGGTTCAGCACTCTGGAGCCCACGCTGCTTTATATATTCAAATACGAAATACGCCGAGTCGAAATATATTTTGTGCCACAAATTGACAAGGCGACAATACAAGGCAGTATGACCCTTCCGTCTGAATTGTATTTGAAAGTGCTGTCCAACCTGAGTTCATCAGATCTAGCGGTTTTGGCAAGATGCAGCAGAACGCAATGCCAAATTGTAACGCCAATTCTTTACAGGAAGCTGTCATTGCAGCTGCATTCCGGTGACCCGGACGCTAGCAGCACCTTGCTGCTGCGAACTCTCAGTGCGAACCCTCGGCTCCGCTACTTTATACGGCAAGTCGAGGTAGTAAACGCCTCGTCGACATACTGGACTTCAGGCCATTCCAAATTATTGGGTATCCTCCTCTCCAGCATTTTGACCCATCCAGACCGTATCACATCTTTCACGTGGAAGGCTGGCCTGCTACCGACGCACATTTTCTTCCCCGAGATGTCGATCCTCGAATGCACCCGGATCCTCAACATGTCAGATTTGCTCTGGGTCAGGTGGCATCTGCTGTACTGTCGCTCCCTCAAATCCATTCGCTTGCACGTATCAAAGCGGATGGACCAACGATCCCTACAATGGTTTCTTTCAAACTTATCTCTGCAGCGTGTACGACACCTACACCTCCAGGGTGCCGACTTAACAACAATGAACATTGACGTTGTTTACTCACTCCAAACACTAGACCTGAAGCTGTGCCGCGGTCTAGACGGCTTTTTGGCCCGACTCGTTTCGTATGGAGTTCCACAATCATTAAAGGTATTGAGATTAGCCGGAGACATTGCTCTAACATCTCTAGAATGTTTCTTATCGGCTGTGGCATCCAAGACACGGCTTCAAGAGCTGTCTCTTAGGATTGGCGGGGCTACTAGGTTTCCCAGCACTAAGGCTATCCAAGCGCTCGCACCGGGGCTCTCAACCCTGGTGCTGGACTTCAGGCAGAATCTCTCTGATCCCCGGTCCTCTCTAAAATACACAATCAAAGACTTTCAGGATTTTATCAAAGAATTCCCTTTGTTGAGGTCGGTAGGATTCGCATTGGATCTGCGGAATCCAAAGTGCCAGCGGTACCAGAGAACCAAGTTCGTGGTAAGCACTGCGCCGAAATCTCTTAGAGGTCATGGCCGCCAGAAGACTAATTGCGAGAGCAGAAAGATGTTACACTCGAGAATTCCAGTCTTGAGTACCTCCACCTCCGTGGCCACTGCGTTCCGCTGAAGCGGTCTATCCTGGATGCAAAACACCTGGCCGCCCCGTTCGTAAAGAACGGCCCGCTTCGGGTTTTACTAGACCATGGCTCGCGCCTACGCAAACTCAGTTTCAGTCAGAAATCATACGAATTCTCTACGGTGTCCGATGAAGAACGATTACAACTAAGCACAGATTTATACGGGGTGTATGGGTGATCCTGGGAAGCAAAAGTTGCGGCGATGACCGGTAGGCGTGATTGCCATCGTAAATCATGCAATACACCTTTGTTTACGGGGCGGTTTGCCCTCGTTTAGATTAATGTGACATCCACTACAATGCGTAGCACCATTCGTAGTGTCATGTATAGTCATTCTATGAGGACGGGTCAAGCCGTCTATCACCAACTCCCCCAGCAGGTTGATTCTAGAAGCTTCTCTGGAGGCGTACTGGGAATACATAAGGCGCTATTATCATGTTGCGGCATTATATACTTCCTTTTCTTCTTCATCTTCATAGTAAACAGCTTAGAGACTAGCTAGTTGAGTCAACTCTCTAGAGGCCTTTCACAAGGCCAACTAAACACGCCCATCGCAAACGGTCAGAATGCATCTTACGTTAATATAAATCGCATCAGGTATTTTCTCATACACTTTTGTGGTACTGTACATAGATTTGTGTCTATAACAATATACATAAATACCTAGTGGTACGGAATGTCCCACTAGGCAGTGAGTCGCTGGCAGTAACTCTTTATGTCTTGGCATATGACTCGCACCAAGTCAACAAGATACAAGCCGTCTACAGAATACCACAGCGTGGGCAGACTCCCTCTTTCTTCTCTATCTTGATGGTAAAGAGCATAGGGACTAGTTAGTTGAATCAACCTGCTGGGAGAGTTGGTGATAGGCCGCACAGCCGCCGTTCGAGCGGCATGACCCGTTACAATTGTTGTAAAACAGATGGAACCTCCCAGAAGGTATCGCGTAGATTTGGTACCCATATTGCCAGCTGGCTATTGACAGCATTGTCCACGGCGGCGTTGACAAGGATGTGACGTGCTGAGCCCGATGGTGGCTCGGCTTGCACTCTCGCCTGCTTGTCCTTTCGAGATTCGTTAGAGTCATCTAATCAGTTGTCAATATACTCGCTAGACTGTTAAAGTTTACACCATTAGTCCAAACTACGCCCACAAGCGTGAATCAATTCCATTTACTACCACTGGGAGATGTTAGACAAATAATTTCTCTTGGTGTTCACTGTTGATATAGATTAATAACAGCGCTGCCCGGGGAGACGGTGTACATAGTGAGGACTAATAGTCTCAACAGTCTGGATTATTGGGAGCCCTGTAGCTTGCTTCACTGACTCACATGTCATGAAGATCATGTGGCCGTGGACGATGCGTAGAGGTGTGGCCAACCCTTCAACGACGCGCCCTCGTAGTAATTACAATGCCTGTATACCAAATTCAATTCAATTACAATGCCTGTATCTGGTCATGCTATCCAAGCCGCTCACCAAGAGCAGTGCGCCTTTAAGGGCTCTCACCAAATGGCGGGCATCACTAGAGACAAATGTTTCTGGGCGGAGGCGGTTTAGGGTCCCAAATTTAGAATAAGATTGCATCCTCCTGCTAATGCCGTCAGTGTCATGCCGTAAATTTTGGTTTAGTCTTTTCTGAGCTTTAGATAAGTGCAAGTAAAGCTATGCTTGGGAATTTGGCACGCGAAGTATGATTGGAATTCATTTAAAGACCGGACGGCCGTTACCTCTATCTTTTTGCTGTGTATGTGCTGAAATAGATTCTTTTGCTATGAGTACACACAGTCATTCATCCGGCCCACACAATGTCCCCCCAAAGGCGCAGCAGCGCATTCAGGAAGAACTCAGGACAGCTTTGAGAGCAGTTCTGGTGCCTATGCTGCGCCCCATATTGGGTGGCTTCCTCGCCGCTTCCAAAGAAGTGGCGGAACAACAAGCACTCCAATTTAAAAACCATTCCGATGAAATTTTCCTAGCTATGGATGAAAAATTAAAGAAAATGGAAAAATCCATGAGCCAGAAACACGTCCAGGAACCAGCGGATACTCCTGTTGCTCGTCGTCACAACCGGAACCCTTCACCCCAGCACCATGACAAAGTTACTAAGAAGACAAAAGGAGCCACCCGGACAAAAGCGACTTTAAACCGCCCAGGAGGCTCGGCTCGCAGGAACCCTTCACGGGCCTGCCGAGTTAAATGGAGGCAAAACCAAGCATTGGTGTATTAGTTAAGTGGAGAATGGAGAATATTGAGCGGAGAGGCAACGACTCGTTTTTTTGACTTGCGCCAAAGAATTTGCGTTTTGTGTTCGCAAGTGGCTTGTTGTTGTCTGGCGTACCGTGGTGTACCACTTTTTCGTCGTCGTATTCCTTGGCTCTTTATTCCAGGATCGGTCTTAAGTACTGTCTAGTTAATGCATGCAATGTTTTCATTTCAATCCTTGAGTTGCCATGTGCATAATTCCGGTCCGCCAACTCGACGTTTGGGGGAATTTCAATTTGCTAGTTACAAAGAACTAACTAACCAACCATTGGAGGCCTGCTTGGAAGCATCTACGCACCTAACTAAGCCAGCCGTAGTGAATAGGATCATACGGCACAATCAGTTATTCCGGAACAGCACTCGAAAGATCCTCTTCAAAGAGGAAAGTCAACAAGCACGCAGTATCCGAAGTTTTGTATTACAGGACGATCTAGAGCTTGCTTGATGTTTCCAGGGACGCAGAAGGATCACTGTGTCCGAAGGACTGGAGTGTCTGTAGAAAAATGCGCCATGACTCGTCGGACATTATCGGTGCAGTTATGTAGGCTGCTTCTGCAGTATTGTCAGCAAATTGTAGCAAGAGCGGGAGGACCGCCTTGTACGCCTCCACCAGAGACTTGAAGAACTGCTTCCTCGTAATGACGCCGCTTCCGGTGTACCAACTCAGATCTTCCTCCATACAGAGAAGCGCGTACAGGTGGAGCAGTTCCCGTTGCACCCCGCGGGCTCTCGCAGCTTCATATGCCATTCTTTCGCCTATTGCTTCTATGAGTTTTCTGCACCGCGGCACAATGTTGTTGTTGAATGCTGCGCTGCGACGTTCCCCATATCCACCGAGATCAATCATTTCCTGCCTGGCTTCTGCAATCAACCCGAGCTCGTGTTTGGCCAGAGGAGCGAGTGGATCTTGCGGTTCCGGCAGCGAGTACTTGTCTCCCAGCAGCTCGGATCCCAGACCTGAACGCGGCGCTCTTTGTCAGTGGCACGTGTGGCCAGGGCCAAGAGCAGGTTCACTTACGTATACATAACACCAGAGTGTCGCCCTCAGCAATAGAGTTGCCCTGGAAGGTCAGTGCGAGCTCGCTAATTTGGTTATAGGCAAACAGGCCCTGCCACCCGCAGCGCTCAGAAAGTTCGGTGAGAAGCTTTGTCTCCCGCCCAACTGACGTCTTGAAAACCACGGCTAATGCTTGCCGAACACTGCCACTCAGTGTTTTACTACAGAACCGGTCGATGGTCCATTCGGCAAATGCTCTAAGTACGGTGGACTTTACAAATCCTCGAACAATGGGCCACCTCTGAGTACTAAAGCGTAGAATGGGCACCTTTGCTGCCCCGTCGCCCGTTGTGATGAGTCGGCGCCGACTGTAGGTGAGAGCAACGCGACTTCCGATCCTGAGGGCCGACACACCCATAATCGAAAGCGACAGTGTGCCGATGGAGACCCTCCAGATCTGTTGCAGAAAGTCGCGTCGGGCGTCATCTGGTTTGGCTTCGGACCCTAAGAGGGCTGTTGGTGGCAGAAGGACGTGGTCGAAGCTCGTTATGCCATGGTCCAGTGGTTTTGTGCCTGGTCGTACGGGGAGGATCCTTGATGTAATGCCCCTGCGCATTTGCTGTGAGTCATTAAGCTCCACAACAAAAGGCTTCACGCCATGGTCGTCATGGCCCACGATAAGTCGAGCAAACACTATGGCCACGCGTGGCATGCCACACAGGGGAGTCGACGGCGGCATCGCCTTCCAAGCCGACTCGTTTGGGCTGTGCAAGTCGAAGCAGCCATTTGGCAACAACGTCGCAGCGGTCTCTAGATTGCGGGCATCCAGGCCGTGTCCAACCTCTGTCAGCATGAATTCACCACATGTCCTAAAACTCAGCAGGTCGTCCAGCAAATTCGATAAATCCGGACGAGTTGTGAAGAATGAGCTCAGAGTCCCGATGCAGAGGTTTAGATGAATAGTAGCAATGATGAAAGCAGTCATGTCACGGGTAGCGATCACTACCTCGTTAGCATCTTTTCGGGGTGTACAATACTTGTTTCGTTACGTACAATCGAAATGGAAGGCCCAGAATTTTGGAGAGAGATCATGGATGTCATCTATTGTCAGTCCTGTGCAGACGGAAAACTCGTCAACATACAAATCGCAATTGAGCCACCGAACTTGGGATTAGGCGTACCAATGTTCCGACACATTGAACGTGCTCGGTCATAATGCAACCGAAAAGCTTCTGGCGTGGTTGAGGGGTATTGTTCCCTGGAGAGCGACCAAATCTCTTCGTTTAGAATCGGCTTAGACAAGTCCATCTTGGGTGTGCGCTCGCGGCAGAAAGACTATAGACAGAACGAGTTCACAAACACGGCATTGAAAGGAGCCGAGATAAGTCTGCACATTATATATATGTCGACGCTATAAGGTTTCTTACCATCACTCGCATTCTGGATCTAAGCCTTGCGGATGAGATTACACTTGCCGGCTCGCGGTCCTTGCGGGAGTTGGTGGAGAGTCTGGTTCATTTTCGTGGTGGAAGCACAGTGGATTGCAGTGGATTGCGGTTGATTGTCCACGCAGGGAGTTGTTAACATTGTTCTGCATGCACGTATCCTCGTCACGCACATTGTGGAAACCAAAACATCTAAGTCGCTTTTGGTATGTAAATATGCAGGCACTTCAATACTGCAAGCACGGTGAATCTGTCCGTGTGTGTTCTTGACCCGCGTTGGCGACGCTAACGAACTATCCCCATCGTACATACGCCTGATCGCAACATGAGAAGTTAGATCCTCACAAAATAGCGGAAATGACAGCTATTTTCGTCAATTCTAAACCCTATTCCGATGAGTCTGATGGTCTCTTCCCAGCTCCCCACTGGAAATGCGTGCTTGTTCGTAAAATATGGGGATTGGATCCTGCTGAGTCGCTATGCCGAATGTCTGCGACGAAAATCCAACGTATTCGCTGAATAAGGCGGGCAGCATGTATCGTGGCCGACAGAACAAATCACAGTGCAGACTGGATTAAAGATCTTGTTACGTGAGGCATCGCGCCTCTGGTGAGTGATAAGTGGCTTCTTTTGAACATGCCGTCCCACATTTTCCCCAAATGCTAATTCTGTTGGGATAATGTCTCTGTTGACTGACGTCGCAGAGCTTGCTGGTTGTCATAACGTCAGTTATTCCCACTAAGCTCAGCTAATGTACTGTAACAATGAGTCTGATAACGTCACAAATTCATGGCCGAAAATACATACCACAGCGAACCATGTCGATGCACCGACACAGTCTTTTTCGACGCAGAGGTGAAAATATTTGAAGACAAACTCGCGAAGGGGCGGAGGGAAAGGAGGAGGCTATGAGAGCCAACCCTAGAGAGTTTCAAATCGATCAGGTCATCACCGCATTTATACATATTTACAGTGTATCACTTAGTTACTATAACTAATTGCAGTAGTTAGAGAATCGGCATAACGTGATAAATATCGTTCAGCACTTAAGCCGGATACAGTATATATATATATATATATTAAAGCAAGCGTCAGGACAAATTGAGAAGTGATCTTAAATTTGTCAGTCATGACCAATACTGCGAGCCCAAGCCGTTGAAGATTGCAAAATCCTCA